GGGGGGGGGGAAGCGGCAGTTCTGATTCTTAATGATGGTATTAGTACAATAGAGAATGATGGCTTAAGTTCAGGAAACCAAGGTGCGGAAACAATTTGTGTAGAAGGAGAAAAGATAAAAGCAAGAGGTCATTTGTGGGAGTGGGAAACAGAACCCTTAACAGCAACCTCACTAAGTTGAAGTATAAAGGAAGAAATAATTCAAGCTTATCAGAAAGGTATGGCAATAATCATGGGAGATTTTAATCTGCATACAGACAGGAAAAGATAGGCAGGCAAAGTAGCTAGATGACAAGTTCACAGTATTTTCATCATAATTTCTTGGAACAGCATCTTCTGGAGACAACCAGAAAATTGGCTATATATTAGACATGGTATCGTGCAATGAAACAGGATTAATAATCTCAGTGAAGGTGCTCCTAGGTAACAGTGACAATAAAATGATTGGATTATACATTTAGTTTGACAGAGAAAGAGAGCAGTAGCTCAGACTATATTTTTCAATTTAAAAAAAGGGAATTAGGAGGGTATTAAACGGGAACTGGTTCAAGTGAATTAGCCATTTAGTTTAAAGGACAGGTGAATAGAGATGTAATGGCAGATATTTAAGGAGGCATCTGAATACACAAATGGATACATTCCACTAATAAAGAAAAAAATCCCACTATCCATGGTTAACTAGTAATGTTAAAGATAATATCAAACTAAAAGAAAAAACTAAAAGAATTGTGAAAAGACAGGTGCAATGTTAGAAGATTGCGTAGAAAATAAAATGCAAAGAATGACCAAAAAATAAAGATTTAAATTTAGAGAGCGAGATATATAAAAATATAAAATATAAATATAAAAACAGACAGCTCAAGTTCCTGGAAATATTTAAATCAAGTCAGACTAGAGAATAACGGAAAATAAGGAAATGTCCGATGCACTGAGCAGATGTTTTACATCAGTTTTCACTACAAGAGAAACAAGTGGCATCCCAGAAGCAGGAATAAATCAGGAAATGGAAAAGAGGGAGGTACTTGGGGAAAGCACAATCACCAGAGAAGTATCACTGAATAGAATGCTGCACCAAAGTCTTGGAATATTTTTCAGGGAGAGGTAGAATGATTCTCGTTAAACAGGGAGATGAAAGGTTATCATGGGTAGGCCAGAACACATGAGGTTACAGTCAGATCAGCCATTATCTTACTGAACAGGCAGAGCAGGTTTGAGTGACAGAAGGCCTACTCTCCTGCTCATAATGTGTATTTGGAAGTATGTAGCACCCTTTCAATGTTGAAGAAATTGCTACGGACTTAGGAATTGCATCAGGCCTGATAAGTTAAAGATAAAAAGTTTTCTCTTTTTCTTCCAACAAAACTAGAGTTCTGTACTGTTTAACAAATATAGTGTGTATGGCTTTAGACATGGTTAAGATCAAGACTTTACCTGTGTGACACTGCTCCACATTTTCAGGAAAAATAAGCAGTTCCCGGGCAAAAATTGGATTTCCCTCAGGCTTGAAATGACATTTTCCATTTCGCATGTGAGGTAAAGGTCTATAATTTAAAACAGGTCATGAGCTCCTTGATCTCTAAACAAAATTTATAGAACATTTACAAAAGGACATGTTCAAAATCAATTTAAAATAACCTTATATGCATGTAGTGTTACTTTTGTATTTCTTTTCATGGCAGGAGCTGATTCTGGCTTAAATTGGCTCTGAGAATTTTTAAGTACCATACCTTGTGTTCGAGCACTTATAACTCCTTTAATATTGCCAACCATATTAGAAAGTATGCATATTGAATTACATTGAAAATATACAGTACAAAAACAGATCATTCAGCCTAACCAGTCAAAGTTATCATTTGTGTTCCCTTTTATTCCCCTTCAGTCTTTCAAGTCCTAAATATTAGCATAACCTCTCTTCCCTTCCCATAGGCTTAATGATGTGTTTAAGGGGAGGATAAATATTATTCACCTCAAACTCTCTTTGTTACAGCAATTTGTACACTTGCACCACTCTGAGCAAAACGGTCTCTTGTGAATTTTGCATTTAGTTTCTTTTACATTTGTGACTCTAGTTTTGTTTTTCATTTTCTCTGCACCTATTATACAATATACGGCAACAATTTTTAATTTCTAAGGTTTTTGCAAAGATTTGTAGCTAGGATTGTGGGTGAAGTTGCTGACTTGCTCACCAAGCTGACTTGTTTTCGTTCAGATGTTTTGTCACCATGCTAGGTAGCATCATCAGTGAGGCCTCCGATGAAGCGTTGTTGTTCTACTCTGCTTGGAATTTATACTGTCTGGTCTGTTACGGTGAGTATTGTCATTTCCAGTTCTGTTCTCTTTGGGTTTGTATATGGGATCCAATTCTATACGTTTGTTGATTGCATTATGGGTTGAGAACCATGCCTCTAGGAATTCCTGTGCGTGTCTGGCATCTGGCCACAAGAGATTGGGGGGGATAGCGTGGAGAGAGAGGGAGAAGAGAGAGGTGTGGCAGAGGGGAGGGGTTGTAAAGAAGGGAAGTGGTAAGCCAGGAAACTAAAGGTCAATTAGTCCTAGCTCTGGAGTTGGGAAACTACTGGCAGCAATTCTGAGGCATAAAATTAACCGTCACTTGAAAAGGCAGGGATGAATCAAGAATGGTCAGCATAGTTTTATTAACGAGGTCATGCATGACGAGCTTGATTGAATTTTTCAACGAGGTGACCAGGTGAAGGCAAATGTCCAACACAAGAGAGTGACAGAGAAAGTGAGAGTCGATGTTATCCAACAAAATTCAGTTCATTGATCAGAATAGGCAAAGTGGCAGGAAGGTCAAGGGGTTTGTATCCAATGGAGTTCTGCAGGGATCGGTGTAGAGAGTGTTCCTGCCTGTCATATATATAAACAATTTAGACTTCAATGTCAGAGTGTTGATCAGTAAGTTCGCAGATGACATGGAAATTAATGGGGTGGTAAATAGACAGGATAGCCTTAGATCACAATAGCATACAGATGGGCTGATCAATAGCAAATGGAATTAGATTCAGATAAGTGTGAGGTGATGGACTTGGCAGGATAAACAAAACAAGGGAATACATGATGAATGGTAGGACCCTGAGAAGCACCAAGGATCAGAGGGACCTTGGTGTGCATGTCTACCAGTTCCTTAAGGTAGTGGGACAGCTGGACAAAGTCGTTCTGAAGGCATTCTGATACTTATCTTTATTAGCCGAGGCACAGTTTATGCTGGAACTGTACAAGAAGTTACTCAGACCACATCAACAGTATTGTGCGCAGTTCTGGAATCCACATTTTAGGAGGGATGGGATTGCACTGGAGAAGTTAGTTAAGAATGATTGGATCGTCATTAGCAATCACTTGTTCAGAAGCCCTCATAACATTTAAGCTTTCTAAATAAAAAATTAAATACCCTGACCACTGATTTCCCTCAGCTTACCCTACTAGCTTGAGTGTTTTGAAAAGAAGTTCAACAGATTTGTGACCAGCCATTATCCTTGCATGGCAGAGCAGACTCAAAGGGCTGAATGGCCTACACCTGTTCTTATTACTTGTGGCCTTAGTATTTAGATGTGTAGTTGCGATGCCAAGGCATACAAGGCTATGGGCTGTGCTAGAAAATGGGAGTTAAATAGTTAGGTGCTTATTTTGACTGGCACAGACTTGATTAGCCAAAGGGCCCTTATCTGTGCTGTAGTTCTCTGTGACACTATCCAGAACTTTTACAATTTGAAAGGATCGTCATTAAATCACTCCAGACTCTTCCTTTTTCATGAGGGAAGTGACAGAGTCTGTTCAGTATTTTCCTGGTAGACATAACCTAACATTTCTCGTATCATGCTTGTAAATCTTTTTAGAATTGCCAGTGTCAATTGTTAATATGGTAAGAAGTGTATGCAATTTAAAAGTATTGTCTACCAAGGTTCATCACGAGTCTAGCTTAACGTCACTACTGTTCAATTCTACCCCGTAGAAATAAACCTTAATGCCCGGTTGTTTGATCTTACTAACTTGTACCACTACTTTTTACTGATTTGCGTATTTCATCTCCCAAGATACATTTGATCTTTTACCTCATTTGAGTTCTTAATTATAAGCAATATTTTACAGCATTTTTCAAGGAAATATATAAAATTTTACACTTATCTGCACTGAACATATCAATGATACTTTTTCTGCACATCTATTAATGTTGCCGTGATGACTGTTAGAGTTCCCCTCAGTACAGGCTAACTACCCCAAACTTGGATTAATAAGCGGCAAGTAATATCTGCACCTGGCAACTGCTGGACAATAACCATCCCTATAAAAGATGGAATCTGGACACTGCCCCATTATATTCAATGGCATTACCATTGCTGAATTCCCACCACTGACAGGAAACATCACTGGAGCAGCCATATAAGTACCTTGACTGCACAAGGGAGTCAGAGACTCAGAATTCCGTGCCGAACAACTCATCTTCTGACTCTCAAAAGCCTTCTACTACTTACAAGGCAGAAGTCAGGATTGTGATGGAATACTCACCACTTGCTGGGATGAATTCAGCTCCAGTAACGCTATAAAGAAGCTCGACACCCTCCAAACAAGGAAGCCTTCTTGATTAGCACTCCATCTACCACCTTAAATATTCAATCCTTTCCACCATTGGAGAACAGCAGCAAAGCATAAGAGTCACAAAATACACTGCAACTTGCCAATGCTTCCGCAACAACATTGTCCAAAGCCTCAGACTCCAGCATTTAAATGATCAAGCACAGATGCACGAGAACTGAACTGCCTTCAAGTTCCCCTCTTAAGAAGCAAATTCCTGAATTGGAACTGTATCGTTGACTGGCACTGGGCCAAAATCCTGCAGCTCTCTTCTAAGTAGCACCACACTACATAAATTGCACCAGTTCACCACCACTTCTCAACCGCAATAAATGTTAGCCTTAGCAATAATGATTACGTTCCAAGAATGAATGAAGTAAACAACTGGTTTCATATGTAAATTTAAAGGTTGTGCTTTTGTTCAAAGACTAACTTGTTAATATAATAGTTAACAGTGAAATGACCGCTGATAGTTGGGAGATCCTATTTTTCACTGTTCTTCACCACATTATGGAAGAAGTCATGTTGTGTTCAAAAGCAGTTCTACTCCTTGCAGTTCATCAAGATTTGCAGCTAACAGAGAGAAACGTCAAAATTCTGTGAGTGCAAAATATCGCTGATTTTAGAAATCGGAAATAAAAAATGCTGGAAATAATCAGCAGGACATTTCGTGGAGTGGAACAGTTAACATTTTAGGCGGATGATCTTTCAACAGATTGGTACAACATTCAAGCCTGCATGCAATGCTTTAAGTTCCTTATTTTTGTGGTTGTTTCTAAAAGGAGTGATAAGAAGCCAAATTTTTAAAAAATTCAAAGATAAAGAGAATATTGCTGCAAATATCATTACTTTGACATTTGCCCTGATTTGAGTTTGGGTGCATTTTACAGCACTTTCAAGTGACTGGCTTTTAATTAAATTAGGTTTAATCAGAGTAGAATTTTCAATGGCTTTTGTACCTTTTAGCATCTGGGAGATTTTTTCTGTATATGGAATCAAGTGGTAGTACTTGTTGGCGCCCCTGACTTTCATCGAAGATACGTCGAGCAGCATCAGTGGTTAAAGTAACCACACAGTCCATATCGCTAGCCATATGCCAAGAGACTACCCTGGCCACCTCATCATCTTCTATCATTGCCAAGTGTGCAATCTGTAATCAAGACAAATATCCATTTTGAGTTGAGGAATGTTCTGCATCACAAACTGAAAGAAAACAAATATTGGGGGAGAAATATACAATGCTATAAAGGAAATATAATCTTGAAAAATAAATGTTTTATTGGAGAAGTATGAGAACAAGAATGAGAACAGCAAAGAACAGGAACAACAGAATGAGTAACCAAAATTATTTTCTTTGGTTACTTGATTAATATAGCATGCTAATCTGCATTCTGTCATTCTAAATTGGCTTTAACTTTGATGCTGAATGTAGTAGGTCAATAATTTCCAAATTAAATATTTAATAAACAAGAAAGAGAAACAGAAATTGGAGAAACTTAGCAGGTCTGGCAGTATCTGTGGAAGAAAGCAGAGTTAACGCTTCCAGTCCAGTGACTCTTCAGAAGTTCTCGAACATTAACTTTGCTTTCTCCCCACAGATGCTGCCACACTGTCGACTTTGTCCAGAATTTTGTTTGTTTCAGAACTCCAGCATCTACAGTTCTTTGTTTTATAAACAAGAAATAAAATTTTGTTTAGCTTTAAGTACTAATAGAACAGTTGCAGCTTGATTATCAAATGGCTGGGAGCAGGGATATTGCGGAACAAGACGAGAAGCAGTACAAATGAGAACTTACGACATTTCCACGAGAACACATCAAGCAGATTGAATTAATACAAAAATTGAAACGTTTCAGGCCAGGTGATATGGGTTTTGTTTCAATAGTGGAGAGAAAAATGACAGTACAAAAATTATTAGTAAAGAGTAGCTTACAATGAAATTATTTACATTAACCATACCTTTCCTAAAACGTCAGCACTACTTCTGGTATAGTTAGACAGAGAACATGTTCTTCTGGGTAGTTTTAATATCCTGTCTCTTTCAATTTTCATCTGCTTCAGGACTGCATCAATATCTTGGACCTACATTATAAAACAAAAAGCAGTAACATTCAAAGCATTTCTTTGGTTGGAGAGGACGTTGCAAGGAAGATTGACAGTAAATTACTGCAGAACAAGTAAATAAATACGCATACTAAAGAGCATTATGCAATCTAAAAGGTTTTTAGAACAAATGGAAACATTACAAATGGAAACAATTCAAATGTAAATAATAAACCACAAAGAGACAAATCTCAAAAATTCTTGAGAAACATTAACTTCAGAAAAGATTAACCAGGACGTTGCTGCGCATGGAGGGTTTAAGTTATAACAGTGGGCTGTGACTTTTTTTCACTAGAATGTAGGCAGTTGAGGGGTGACCTCAGAGATTAATAAAATCACGAGGGTCATAGATAAGGTGAATAGCAAAGGTTTTTTCCCTCGAGTGGGCTGGGGGGCTGCTGTGGTCAAAACAAGCTGGGCATACTTTTAAGGTAAAAGGAGAAAGATTTAAAAGGGATCTGTGGGATAACTTTTTCCACACAGGGTGGTTTGTATGTGGAATGAACTGCCAGAGAAAGTGGTAAATGCAAGTACAGTTACAACATTTAAAAGACATTTGGATAGGTACATGAATCAAAAGGTTTAGAGGGATCTAGGTGAAATGCAGGCAAGAGAGACTAATCTAGTTTGGGAAACTTGGTCGGCATGGATGAGTTGGACTGAAGGTCTGTTTCTATGCGTATGACTCTATAAGAGTTATACAAAGTTTATACATCATAATTTTTATCCACCTTTAAAATTAAACTTTATTGCTAATTTTAAATCACAGAATCCCTACAGTCCAAAAAGAAGCCAATCAGCCCATCAAGTCTGCACTGATCCTCCAAAGAGCATCCCACCCAAACACAGTCCCCTATCTTTAGGACCCCACATTCACCATGGCTAATCTGCCTCGCTTGCATATCCCTAAACACTATGGACAATTCAACAAGGCCAATCCACCTATCCTGTACATCTTTGGACTGTGGAAAGGAACTAGACCACCTGTCACCCAAGGCTGGAATTGAACCTCAGCCCCCAGCTCTGTGAAGCAGCAGTAACTATTGAGCCACCATGCTGCCCTTAACCAAAGTGGAGAATGTGAGAATTCTTCAAAAGTCAAGCAATGCCAGAAAGTTGGGACAATAAATAAATTAGTTGGAAAAGAATCACTTATTTATTTGAAACATTGTGAAAATACAGCAACATGAGGTCCAAGTGAAGTAAACTGGAACAATTGGCATGTTACAACATCATTTATTAGTGACTTCCATCTGCAAGATAGATTCCCCATACTCTTTAAATTGTAATTTAAACTAAAGACCTGCATTTTGTTGCTGTGGCTCTTGTGATTACAAAGGAGAGGCAATCAAATTGCTAGAAAGTGTGCAAGTGAATTGTTGCAAATTTACTTTTCAAGATGAATAGTTTTGATTTAAGGTTAGTGTCAGTCTTTCATTGAAAAGCCCAGACTTAGGGAGATAATCAGAATTGTTAGTGCGCATCATGCCAACACCAGTTCTTCAAACAACCATCATTATCTAGTACAAACATTCTGCTTTTTCTTCATACCCAATGTGGCAACTATCATTGTAGCATTGATCTGGACTGAACTAACTATAAAGGACAGATGTGTTTCAATAATAAGAACAATCTTCAGAGCAACATCAAAATGATGATTCAGATTTGTAAAATCACAGAAATTTCACAACTGTCGTTTCTTTTCCTGCTGAAAATTGAATCTAGACATGTACACGCATTACTTACAGCCAGGGTCTATGGGAAGGTAACGCTGCACTTTTCCAGACAATTTTCAGAAGTCACACAGAATTTTTTTTTTGGTTCACACTCCTCACATTTGGGAGGAAACTCCTATGTTTATCTGGCAGTTCAACAACATAAAAAGTAATCTTGGAATCTCATTGATCAAAAGGAGGTAAAACTGATCTCAATAGTTCCAAATCATACTACTTTATTTTTGACTGCATAGCTCAAAAGGGGAAAAATAAATTCTGGCTAGACAAAATGTTTGCAGATTTGCATTTTGCTTGTTGCTCTTCAGACTTCCAATTACACTCCATCTTTGAATCAGCTCTACCAGGATGTTAGCACTTTCTTGGAAATTTACGGAACTAGGATTATTAGACCACTTCAGCTTCAGGATTGTCCACATGTACACATTTAAAAATTAATACACAAGTTAACTTACAGTTGAAACTTCTGCAATATCTATCTTCTGCTTTCGAAGTTCATTTCTTAGGTGAGTTTCTTTTGCTGTAGCTTCATGTGCTTGACCTTAATATTAGAGATTTCAATTTCAGTACTTAATCTGAAACTTTTAATTGCTACTTCTCCAAATCACATGTAAAAAGATTAATTGCGTTGGTGAACCATTTGGGGTGATGTCACTGAATGACTGTCTTCTGTCCAGTATATTCAGATTACATAATTACCTATGAAATCAAATTAACATTCAATGGTTCAAATGAATTTTGGCTGATCCACGTATCCATCACATTTGGGCAAGAAAGGGTTGTCATATTTATTGTATTCGATAAAGAGTAGGGAGTAGCCAGGGTTTGGGGTAAACCTCTAGGCTAGCTTACAGCATCACATATCAGCCCTCAGTGAGCTCTAGTTATCAAAATCAACAAGTCTTGCTCAAATTCTTCAGATGTTCAGTCTGAGGGGATAAGTAACTGTCAGGAATTCCATGACGTGTCAGACAACATGGCTGAAATAAATGCAGATATTTACATACATTAAATGGCAAGAACTTTTCAGTTTGTAATATGTGGTCTATAGATTAACAGACTTTATAAATTCAGCTATTTGCACTATGTTTTCAGAGGCATACTAGTTCACAGATTTATTTTTTAAAAGCTTGTTTAAAAAAAAAGATGTCGTTGTTATTGGCCATCCTTAATTGCCCTTGAAGACATCAAGACCTAAAACAAGAGACTGGCCTCGAATTAAAATCATTGTTCATAATTTGTACACGAGTGAAAAAGAACTGCAACAATAATTAGATTCTAATTTAACTCACTGCTAAGTTAATAAGGTCTCTATTTCAAAACCATTTCCAATCATCCGAGGTTAATGGTTTACTCAGTCAGGAGTTCAAGAATTATCTGCCTGAAGATCTTATATTGCATTGCTGAGGACATGTTCAAATTTTTGTTTCGCAGCAAGAATCAGAGGGACCTTAGTGTGTATGTTCACAAGTCCCTTAATGTAGGACAGGTAGAAAAAGTGCTTAAGGCAGCACATGGGATATTTGCCTTTAGAGTTTCAGAGCAGTGTGGTTAAACTGGAACTGTATAACAAATTGATTTTACCACAGCTAGAGTATTGCATTCAGTTCTGGAATCCACATTATAAGAGGGATGTGAGTACACTGGAGAGAGTGCAGAGATTTGCCAGGATGTTGCCTGGGTGGAGAGTTTTGGTTGAGCAGAGATTGGATAGACTGAGGTTGTTTTCCATGGAGCAGGGAAGACAGAGGTGATAATGATTTAGATGAATAAAATTATGAGGGGGCAAGGACAGGGTAGACGGGAAGGAACTTCTCCTCTTGGTGGAGGGATCAATGACCAATGATCATAGATTTAAGATAAGAGCAAGAGGTTTAAAGGTTACGTGGATGGTAGGAATCGGAATCTCAGTGCCTCTAAGAATGGTAAAGGCAGAATCCCTCATAACATTTTAGTATTTAGATGTAAACTTGTGATGCTAAGATATACAAAGGCTACAGTCTAAGTGCTGGAAAATGGCAATCGAATAGGTAGGTGCATGTTTTGACCAGCACAGACTTGATGGGCCATAAGGCCTTTTGCTGTGCTGCAGACTATGACTGTATGACTATGACTTACGCTTCATATCAATTGTTGGCTTGTTACTTCTGTACATCAAAATAACTAGAATACAAAGAGTTTACAGTAAAGCTTTCTTTAGTAAATTATACTTAACTATGTAAATTTTCCCACTGTTAAGTGTCGTCAGTAGCAAATAATTCCAAGTCATACAAGAACAGGATATGGTAAAGCTTCTTCCATCCTGATGCACTACATTTCTTTGTGCTAATTTCAGAATAGCTGTGCAGAAATGGCATTTGACTTTCTATACTAATCATCCTCTGCTCTTTAGCGATTGTGGATTTGGGAAGATCTGTGTTGCAGTTTCGCACCAAAACCGAATGGAACATCTCAATTTATTTTTAAGTAGAATCTATACAAAGTGGGAATTTGAGCAACTCTAAATAAAAACTACACACAAAAAAAAAGTCACAACATGCACATGTTGGGGTATGCATGGAACAGTAACTGATGGATAGCTCTAATTTGCTGTGGTAATGACAGCAAAACTGTTCAATGTTCATTACTTCTCAAACTACACAATAACAAACCCCATGGAAAGCTTAGAAGTATTCCTGAAGATTTCAAACAAATAGAAATTGTTATTTGACAAGTCCTTCCACTTGTATAAATCTCAAAAATCTCGTGAAAGATTTAAACTTGCCTTTCCTCTACAATATCAAATTTCTCATCGATTATATTATTTTGAAAATATGCAGGCTTTACGTTCATAATAATGCAACTTCTACCAGAATCCCATTTGCACGTTACAAACTTTACATTTTGGCAAGATATTAACAAGTGAAGGATAATTTTGCCTTGCTGTCTGAGAATACATCAATGTGACTGGCTGCTTGCACTGTTTGATGATGTCACTTGCTAGATATCAGGAGATTTTTCCAAACACAAATTCAAATCAAAAGTAGGAAAGGGGAAATACACAACCAGAGATTCATAAAATTTTGTGGCAAACTTTCTTTGAGATTGGTGGCCAGTGCCATGGCTTTTCCAATATCCACAAAATCCAAGTCAACCTTTCTAACGAAAGGTTATACCTACTATGTTAACCTAACTTCAGTTAACAAGTGATATTAGTACAAGTTGTTCCATAGGAAGCAATGACCTTTAGACAACAGGTCTAATATTTTTTCTTCTTTTTGGAGTACTTTCAAGATACAGGCAGTCACTGTTAGGAAAAGATGCCAAGGTCGTTTTAACAGAAAAGCAATGAAGCAGTATGTTACATTTGTAACATTGAAATTAGTCTCATTTACAAGTGGATTAAATGTGATCTGTTGGAATATTTTTCTCATTTTCAGTTGTTACATCTCTCGCTGTTTGGAAGTAATTCAACTGACCTCCAGTTGCTAGTATACTTTCATATACATGATTGACATTTGTAGTGCTCATTTTTCAAAAACAGAAATTAACTTCCTTCACATATGCAAATTTATGTATGACAAATATAAATGTATAATGTAGCTTACACTTCATTTCACTGATTAGTTGATTGGTGGTGTCAAATAAACTCCTGTATGCAATAATAGATAGGGAGAGTTGGTCCTTCTCTTTCGTCAAGGTTGTCATTTGTTGCTGTTTCTTAAAGTCTGTGAAGAAAAATATTGCCATCTATTTCAATATGCCAAATTGAATCTCATTTCAAGAAGGGTGGATTGTATTTTTTTTTAAAACCAGAATTATATTTCTCATTTTTGGATCAACGTTTCGCTGATTCTGTCAACCACGTGCACTTTGAGAACAGATAGAAATGCCACTACTCAGAAGTAGATGTTGCTACTTGGACTTTAGTAAAGCCTTTGACAGGGTTCTGTCTAATTAGTAAAATTAGATCACATGGGATTCAGGGTGAGTTTGTCAATTGAATACAAAATTGGCTTAACAGCAAGAGACAGAGTGATGGTAAAGTGTTGTTTTTCTGACTGGAGGCCTATGACCAGTGGTATTCCACAGGGATAAGTGCTGGGTTCACTTTTGTTTGTCATTTATATAAATGATTCAGATGAGAATATAGAAGGCATGGTTAGTAAGTTTGTGGATGACCAGGATTGGCGGTATAGTGGACAATGAAGAAGTTTATCCAAGATTACAAAAGGATCTTGATCAGTTGGGTCAATGAGCTGAAGAGTGACAAATGGGGTTTAATTTGGATAAATGTGAGGTATTGCATTTAAAACAAACAAAACAGGACTTCTGCAGTTAAAAGTAGGACCCTGGGTAATTTGAGGAACAGAGAGATCTGGGATTCAGGTACATAATTCCTTGATGTTTGCATCATATATAGATAGGGTGGTTAAGGAGACATTTAGCACACTCTGTCTTCATTGCTCAGACCTTTGAGTATCAGGGTCGGAATGTTATTTTTAGGTTCTACAGGATGCTAGTGAGGCCTCTTCTCGAATACTGTGTCCAGTTCTAGTCATCCTGTTAGGATAGACTGGGACTTCTTTCACTGGAGCATAGGAGGTTGAGGGGTGACCTTAGAGATTTATAACTTTATCAGAGGTATAGATAAGGTGAATGGCAGGTGACTGTTCCCTAGGGTGCAGTAATTCAAGATTGGGGGGCATATTTTTCATGTAAGAGGAGAAAAATTTCAAAGACATGAGGGGCTTTTTTTTAACACAGTGATTCGTGTGTGGAATGAACCTTCAGAGGAAGTGGTGGATGCGAGTACAGTTACAATGTTTAAAAGACATTTAGATAAGTACATGAATAAGAAATGTTTGGAATGATATGGGCCAAATGCAGGCCTAGTTTATTTTGGAATTATGGTTGGCATGGACTAAAGGGTCTGTTTCCGTGCTGTATGACTCAAATTTTGGATAAATTACACTTTTAACCATTTGCAGCTCAGCAGCATTTGTATTGGTAACCATAAGTAACAAGTAAATGTCTTGTTTTAAAAGATGTTACCATTCAGATTAGTTACATTTTATTTTTCTTCAGGAGCTGTGCTTAACTTAACTTCAGTCTTTCTTTCTAGAATATCTTACTTTTCCATTTTAGGTGTATTATGTGACAAAGGCGGTTTAACTTGACTAGCAAAATTTCAACACATTTCAGTTATCAAATAATAAAATGAGATTACCACTGACAAAATCATGGCCAAGAACAAATTTTTATTCCTTAGAAGACTGAAGTTTGAACTAGGAGTTTTCCTTATACCTACCACTACTGAGATCAGCTGGCTTGGAATAAAGAAGATAAATTGAACCTGGAACCATATTGATTCGAACCACAGATGACAATGTGGCATTATCCTTTCATTCATGACTCCTTACTATTTATTTTCTCACTGATATAACAAAAGGCCTGAGTCAACCTCAAATATTTGTAATGAAGTAATCAATGAGCTAGCTGGGACACTTTCATGTTAATTAAATAAGCCATAACATTTCAAGTTCTTGGTAAATAAGCAAACTATATAAGCTGCTTTATGCTTACCATTATAAAACATAAATGATAAAATGTATGGAGGTAAAGGACTCGGCTTGACAGGTTTTGAAATAGTCGGTTCAAAAATCAGCATATATTCAGTACTATCCCTACCAGGACAGTTTTCTGCCAGCACCAAGTTCTGTTAAAGAGGAATAAAAGTAAACAAAAAAATTAAGGTTCAAAGATTGGTAAACAATTTATGTTCATTGAAATTATAGGATTAGGTATAGGAGTGGGTGGAAAATCATTTTATGCTGATGCAGATAATTTTTGACCAAATAAACTTTGATTGTAAAGGAGTTAAAAGGCACAATGTTAGGACTGCTAGCTTATTTCAAAAATAATTGAATTTCTAATAATTTCAATGACTACAGATTGAAACATTCACTTTAAAGTTACAATAAAGCACTCGCAACATAAACTTCCTTGCACACTTTCTTGTCCATTTCAAGTTTCATAAATTCTAATGTATAGTCTGAAGATAGAAAATTAGGATAGTGAATGCAATGTATACCAAATGAATGAATAACATACAATAAATCTATTTTATAGATTCTGAAGTTTTGCTCTTGAACATACTACAAAATAATTTGCCAGCATTTATAGAAATGACTGAACAGATTTTGTAATCAAAAAACCTGTCACATCAAATTGCATACTTGAGCTGCATTCAAAGAATGCTCCCATGCAGAAAAGAATAACCAAATTCCTAACAAAAGGGAACACTGCACAGTTCCCTATAAATGGGAAAATTATAGAATTATATAATTTCTTTTTCATTTCCTTAGATACAGGGTGGGATAACAGTAGACAAATGCACGTCCAGAAAAGAACGCGCGCACACACACACAAAAATTAATTTAGTTGCAATGGTGGGATATTAATTGCTTCTTGAAATGACAGGAGGGACCCACAGTTTAAAGAATTCTGTAAGAAACTTAAAAGCCATAACATAGATAACCAAGCATAGCCAATAAGATTTATTTTTGGGGGGTGATGGGGAGCTGCTTTATTTTCTTGAAATAGTCAAAAGCCAATGGGACATGGTTAGAATAAATATTTCATAAGCACAAATACTTATTGGGCTTGGATCAGTAGAACCGGAAAGAAACCAAAATCAAGAGGAAGTCAGAAAGGCTTTTGGCAAATGAAGCTAAAATGGGAATGAGGTAATAATAAACTTTGACATTATGGAATACAACATGAAAAGAAAATTCTAAAAAGGTTCATCACATCTAGCAGCAGAGAAACAAAGTTAACATTTCAGCCCTAAAATATTCAGATCAACTACCCCGGTCAGCAGGCTTTTACCAGATTAGTTAAACTAAGTTAAACTTACTGAGACAACAGAAGACCCCTGGTTGAGCTCAAACTCCAAACTGCTGAGTTTTCCCTGAAACTGAGGAATCTCACTATCATCTTCAGTTGTACTTTTAATCGTAACCACCAACTTGCCACAAATATCCTCTCCAGTTGGATTGTTATATTCATCCTAATTGAACAAATATAAAGAAATCTTCAATGTTGATGAGTATATTAATAAACAAAATGTCTACATATTCAAATGTAAATATCCGTCCAGCAACATATGATTTTTTTTTAGTTAAAAATGCGGGCAAGGAAAACAAACTTAGTTCAGAAAAATATTGACTTTAAATTAGTTCTTTCAATGAACAGTTCTCCTCTTCATGCTTTTACATTTGCTCATCTATCCTGTCTCCACACAAGCCTTATCTGCAAATCACATAGCACCTCCGAACTTCTTCTTCTTGTGATTTTGTGTTTATTTAAACAACATATATTTCTCAGATTGGAAAATGGAAGCAAAATATTGTGGATATCACATAAAACAGGAGGTAAAGAAACTCAGCTGTCTGGTAGCATTTTAAAGGGACATAAACAAAACCTATTTGAAAAAGTGTTACATGTTTGCTGAATGAGGTGGTTTGTTACAGAAGCTCAGCTATACTCCCTCATATTATTCATTGCAATTTAGACAGGCAATGGCTGTAAGTCACATGTTCTACCCCCTGTTACTTCTTAAAGTGATATCACAATACCTATGGCCTTCAGAGTTTCACTCTCTCAGTCAATGAAACAACTTCTGACAAGTATTGTGCATTGCACATCATTCACAAATCCCTATCCTCTCAGCTCTTTTTTTTGTTTGTCTCTGGAAAAATATTCTCCAAATCAGTCAGAGCTCCACTTTCAAATTCCCAACTATCTATACTTCATCCCAATACCTCTACAGTTAATAATATGCACAAATACTTCCTCTGCTTCAACTTTAGTACCTGAGTCTCCACTGTCCCCCATCCCAGGCAGTATCTCTGTACAGCTGAAAAACCAGTCCCTCAGATCCAAAAAGCATTTCCTCTACTGGGCACCAAATGGTCATAACCACCCATAGCAAGATCTGGCTGGAGCAATTCAAACAGTCATTACTCACTTACCTCTGGCAAAACCATCTACATGGAGATAAAGATAACACTTGAATTCATGAATAATCACCTCTTTAAATTCCTACCCTTGCTCCTGCCCTTCCATCATATGCAAGCTCATATTTCTGTAGGATGGATACAGAAAAGGAGTCATTTAACCTGAGGTGCATGTCCCAGCTGTTTGCAAGAGCAATTAAGTTATGCCCATTTACTTGCCCTTTCCCTGTAACCTGGAAAATCTCTCTGTTCAGGCCATTGTCTACTTTTCTTTCAAAAGCCATGATTGGATTTTCCCTCAACCCCAATCTTCGGCAGTGTATTCCAGATCCTAAGCACTCACGGTATGAAGAATGCTTTTCCTCATGCTGACTTGGATTCTTTTACCAGTCACTTTAAAATCATTCTCTGCTTCTCAAGTCTTCCATCAACAAGAACAATTTCTCTGTATCCGCATCGTTGAGCCCCCTCATTTTATTGAATGTTTTATATAAAAGCGCCTCTCACCCTTCTCATCTCAGAAGAGCTTTAGTTTCTCTAAACTATACAAATAACTGAGGTCCCTTATCTCTGGGACTATTTTCTAAATCATTTCTACCTTGCATGTCCTCTCTAACACCTTCACATTCTTCCTGAAATGCAGTGCATAGAATTGGACAAAATCCTCCAAAGATTCATCACTATTTCCTTACTTTTGCACGCTATGTCACCAAGACACATTCAGATACCTCCGCTGCATTCTCCTTCACGCCATATCTTCTAAAAAAACTTTTAAGCACTCATGCTGTCTATCTCAGATCTCTTCTCATATCTGCTCTAAGCTAAGCATTCCTGCTCCCCGAACCCACCTATGCTGGCTGACAGCAAACACTTCAATCTCCAGATACACTCTACTTCTTTTTAAAAAGTGATGTCACTCTCTACTTCTCTTTCAAAATGATGTCTAGCTAAAGAAAAACTACACTGTTACTGTGATAATATTGTAATAGCCACTTACTAACCATATGAGATTTTCCATGATGTAGAAGTGCTGGGAATGGACTGGGGTGGACAAAGTCAGAAGTCACAGAACACCAGGTGACAATCCAACAGGTTTATTTGAAATCACAAGGTTTAGGAGTGGTGCTCCTTCGTCAGGTGGTGACTTCACCTGATGAAGGAGCAGCACTTTGTAAGCTTGTGATTTCAAATAAACCTGTTAGACTACAAACGGATACTAGACTTTCAACAAGTATACCATTCCTCTCCAATGTTTTGCTGTTGTATAATTCCATCTTTCTACTCCGATTATGACCAGAAAATCTCATTCCACACCAGATTGCTCTTTCTTCAAATACTTTTCCTCCTTAAACTCATTTTTTTTTTTTTACCATTTACTCATAAACAACACTTTACAGCAACAACCAATCATTTGCTTACAAACGTAAACATTCAGACTTTACAAGTGATCCACAATAGTGCATAATTTACCAGGCTTTACCTTCCTGATAGCAATTTAGCAACTCGTCAGGAAACACGTGGACACGGTCATGAGGACAACTGATGAAAGCAGAATTCGGCTCAGCGGTGATAGCCTCTGCAACTCATCTATTGAAAATCACTATTTAAGCTCACAAGCAATGGACAAGAATTTAAAGGATTGTTGTCGTACAAAGAACAACAATATACAACAGAAAGGGAACAATTATTTGCATTTCATACTGGAACAAAATTTTATTACCATGACTTTCAGACACAAATTTTTGACCAAGGTACGATGGGTCACACTGCGAACATTTGAGACTGTGGGAGTGGCTGGCTGCTCTTCTGGCATTAATTTAACTGGTTCACCTGGTACCACACGGAAAGTGATCTGGAATGAAGCAAATGGCACAGAAACTAGAATTAGATTGGTTATAGCACCACAGGCAGTGATTAAGCATGTTGTATCAATTGGTTGTACACCACCTTTTTTCTCTGTAGTTCTTTCTTCTCTAGGTAGATTTCAATTTCTTTTGAAAGTCAGAATTGAGTGTGATACCACCACACTCTTAAGCAATGTGTTACAGATCCTACTCTGTTAAACATTTCTCACGTTGATTCTTTTGCCACAGTAAATGTCTATCCTTTCGTTCTCGATCCTGAAATAACTGATGGGAAGAATTTGTCTCATGGCTCATCTTCAGCATCTCTATCAAATCTCCTCTCGATGTTCAATTTGTTTTTGAAGAAAACATCCCAAATACCCAATGCCATTTCATTTTAAAAAAATCAACCTGCTCAGGATGTCGTGACACATCTCTGGAGCACGTGGGACTTGAATTCGGGCCTCCTGGCTCGGATGTAGGGTCATTGCACCACAAAAGCCCCAATTCTACCTATATAGCTGAAATCCCTCAAAACTTCTCTGTACCCTCTTGAATTCCTTGATATCCTTCCTAAAGTGGTACTTAGAATGGGGCACAATATTCCAGTTCAGACTGGGTCAGCATTTTATAAAAGGTATAAACATTTTACTTCAATTTATAAAGCTCAAGATCTCAAATGCCTTGTTAATTGCTTTCTCAATCTGCCATGCACACTTCAATAATTTGTGCACACGCATAATGTCCCTCTGCTCCTCACTCATTTGAATTATATTCTTTATTTTATACTGCCTTTTCTCATTCTTCCGACTAAAATATCACTTCACGCATCTCAGCATTCAGTTTGTTCCCACCCAACCAGTCTACGTTTAGCCATGTATTTATTTCACTAATCACTATCTTCCTTACAGATGAGAAAGTTTTATGTCATCTGAAAATTTTGAAATTGTGCCCTGCACACCCGAAGTCAAGTTCATTAATATGGATAAAGAAAAGCAGCTGCCCTAATACCAAAACTTCGGGAACTCCACTCTACATATCCTTGGACTTGGAGGGGGTCCAGAGGAGATTCACAAGAATGATCCTTGGGATGAACAGTTTGTCATATGAGGAGCAGTTGAGGCTTCTGGGTCTGTACTTGGGAATTTAGAAGTACGAGGAGCGATCTCACTGAAATTTACAGATTACTGAGGGGCCTGGAGGAAGTTCTTCCACTAGTATGAGAGGCTAGGACATGAGGGCACAGCCTCAGAATGAAGGGATTACCCTTTAGAACTGAGATGAAGAGGAATTTCTTCAGCCAGAGGGTGGTGTATCTGTGAAATTAATTGCCATAGAAGGCTGTGGGGCCTAAGTCATATTAAAGACAGAGATAAATAGGTTCTGGATTAGTAAGGCGATCAAGCGTTATGGGGAGAAGGTAGGAGAATGGGGTTGAGGAACATATCTGTCATATCGAATGGCGGAGCAGACACTACGGGTTGAATGGCCTAATTCTGCTCTGGTATCTTTTGGTCAATATCACCCTTCAGTCTAAGAAACGAAAGCGCGCCACTATGTTCTTTTCCGGTCAGGCAACCAAATTTTTTTCATGCCATCACTGTCTCTTTATTTCATATTATTATTGTCAACTGGATTTCAGCTGGTAGCCCTCTTGCCTCTGAATCTCAAGTTTCTGGGTTCAAGATGCACTGCAGCACATGACATACAAGGAGGGACTGACAGAGTGCTGAGTTATGAGAAGTGTCATCTTTCAGATGAGATGTCAAACAGAGGACCTAACTGCCTGCTTGGTCAGATGCTAAAGTCCCACAACATTATTTTCAAAAAGGCGTAAAGAGATAGCTCCTGTTTCTTGGCTACTATGGACTCAATCAACATCAGAAAACAGGTTGCCTGGTTATTATCTCTTCACTGTTTGTGGGAGCATTTTGCTACGTACCTGACATTAAAACAGTGACTACAATTCAAAACCATTTCATTAACTAAGACTCTTGGCAACGTCCGGTAGTCATGAATATAAACACATTTCTTTTTAAAAAAAATTGAGCTTCAAACTTTGTTGACAAAGCTGTTGTGTTGCACTTGATCAAATGCCTTTTGGAAGTTCATATATATTACATGAATACTGGTAATTTATATTTAACAAAAAACAAACAAATTAGTTAACCACAATTACCTTGACAAATAATGGTGACTTTCCTCAATTAATGTGTCCAAATTACTATGATGTGGAGGTGCCGGTGTTGGACTAGAGTGGACAAAGTCAGACATCACACGACGCCAGGCTCTAGTCCAACAGGTTTATTTGAAACCTCTTCACCCGACGAAGGAGCAGCGCTCCGAAAGCTTGTGATTTCAAATAAAGCTGTTGGATTATGACCTGTTGTTGTATGACTTCTGACTTTATTCAAATTACTACTAATTATGTTTAGTATTAATGCTTTTAAACATTAAACTGACTGGTTATATATTCAATAGATTAACATTACACACTTCTTTGAATGAAGCTATAACATCTGCAATTTCTCTCATCCTCTGACCCCACTCGTTTACTTGAGGACTGGACTGGAAAATTACCGAGACCGTAAAATATAGGAGTATCTAAGCTGTTCTGCCATCCAATGAAATCACGGCTGATCTGACAATCCTCAACTTTACTCTTCATAATCTATGCATAATACAGTGGCTCTCATTTGTATTATGAAGTTGTAATAACTGTCACATGCATTCTTAACAAGAGGCAGAGTGGCAGCAATGAAAAGACCAGGAAGCAAATTCTAAACTCCAGGTTCTACGACCTTGAGGGACATTGTACAACATACACTCAAAGATTTACAAGTCGCGAATCTGCACGTTCAGTCAAATGAAGACCCACGGCAGAAACTAGCAACCCTTAGCAAATGGCATCCTTGAATCAAGGGAGAGTCGATGATGACTAACTAGCATATCGTATGTGAGGAATGCGGAAATTACTATCTTCAAGTTTTTTCATGTTGATACCTTTGTTAAATGAAGACTTCATGTTATTTTAGGAGCACTTAAAAGTGAAGACGTACTATATCAATACCTCCAGAGGCTCAGAAAAACCCTATAACTCAACAGGTTTACAGTCAATATTCTGATTTTTGTCTGTCTTACTTGAGTCAGTATTTCAAATTTACCCCTTCTGGATTATTTACGTTATGTACCTTCTTTAAAGCTTGAAAAGACATTTCAGCATTGAAACACATTGTTCCACCAGTTTCATTAGCACTATGGTCTCATATT